CTGTCCGTCTTTGTCTTGGATCCGCTCAACCCGCACCTGCCCCCCGAAATCCATCGGATCCACCGAATCCAGCGAATCCCTGTTTGGATGTTTCTGTTTCTGCAAAATCAATGTTGACGCAAATACGTGTATGTAGAATCATTTTGCCGACAGTTCAGACTTATTTCTTTCGCTACCGAATTTAATTGGATTTTCTCCCTGACTTAAGGGCTTTAACTGCTGTGGTATGTGGAAATCATTTCTGGCCCCAGTCGCAGACACGCAATGCGATGCTGATGCCCCATGTCCCATGCGCCTTTGGGAGCTCTCCTTTTCATCTGGCCAACTGCAAATTTACTCTTGTCGATGATGCAGCAGCAGGAGCCGCCACTGCGACACTCCCCTCTTCTTAAATACCCCCGCTCCCCGACTCCTGAGCGCAGTAAAACCTCACTTAATTTAGCAACTGCGAAAAGTTAATCATTACATTCCGCTGGCCGAGTGGTGCGTGCTCGGTGTGATATTGATGATGCACATGACTCAGCCGCCCGCCAGTTTCGGTATCTAAATTTGAGTGACGGACCAAAGAAATGGATTAAGGTCCAGGGATCAGCCACCATTTGCAAACTAAAAATGTTCATAAAACATAACTATTTAAGAAACTTGTAGTTACTTGTTTAATAAGCACATTAAACAATTTTATACTTTAGTAAGCTCTGCTTTCTGAAGCATACATAAAAATAATAAATGTATGTATTTGAATTTGTATTTATTTTACTTCATGTTTCTTAGCAAGTTTATCATGGCAATCATTTTATAATAATATTATATCATATCGTTTTTTGTAGTGGCTGATTTTATTTCTAAATCAAGTTAGCCTGTTGCTTGATGAAAAATGTCAATAAAGCAAATATTATCAAGGAAATAATCAGTTTACAAGTTATAATATACCTCTTGAATGACATTTAATATAAATGCACAAAACCGTAACGTCTCTGAAAAACCTATGTGAAACCTTGAGCAAACAACCGTAGAATGTCAGAGTTAATGGCATTACCAAATCAATTTCGCGCTTACATCAACTTTTGAGAAAAATCAGGAAGTCTTTGAAATTTAACCTACATGCAGAACGTAGATTTCTTCGCTTTCGCATTAGTCAGCAATATTTGAGGAACATTTGTATGCAAATGGCAAAAAGCAACTGGAGCCAGACAAAAAGCGACACTTTAATCATTCTGAGCAAGCGCTAAACATTTCCGACCAACAAAAACAGAAACTTGAGCATATTTCCGCTGGTTTTGGTCTCCAGAAAGGTCTTACGCTGAGAAAAATGTACTGACAACGAAGAATTGTAATGCATGTAAATAACGTAACCATCTTATATTTAGGCTTGGGTTAGTAAACCTTAAATGTAAAGTAAGTTATTGAATCCAACAAAAGTTTCTGACTATATAATGAATCTGAATCTTGAGCAACCTATTTTTGTGAACTCAATTCCTTAGTGCATATTATTCTCTCGGTGTAAAGTCAAATGGAGCCCGTTGCTATTTCTTTTCAAGGGAAGCTCAAGAACCTAAAAGTTATTTTCTATTTGTTTGTTAACATTATGAAATTCCGACTCTCTGTTGGCCAGGAGGAGAGTTCTAGCCCGACGTTTTTTCACGGTTCACCAAGTCGGCGGCCCACACCCATTCCCCCCCCCCCAACCTTTGCGGGCCCAAAATGTATAACCCCCGCTTCGGTGGAAATCAGCATATGCATATGCCTACATGTGGGTAAACACCACCGCGTCGCTAACCACGGGCACAAAAACTCCGCCCGGCCTGAGCACTTCTTGTCTACATTGTTTGGAATATTTTTAGCCGGACAGCAGACAAACGGACATACGGACATATGGACATATGGACATACGGACAGCGGACAGGCGAGCAAACAAAAACAGGAAGCGTGGCTACCACAAATATGCACGGCACACAGGGGGCTTGGCTGTAAGTTCGGGCTGGGATGTAGATACTAGATCGCTATCTGGCTGGAACTTGGCCACTTTGCTACCGAAATAATGGCGGCCGGCAGGCGTTAGCCAAGGCGGCCATAATTAATGCGCCCATCCCCGAATAACCGAAAAAGTTGCACGAAACGCAATTAGAAGCAGGGACACAGTCGAACATCCCTAACTAGCATCTGTGTTAAAAAGTTAAAAAAGTATTTTTATTCTTATGAAAGAACTATAACTGGAAAGAACTATAACTATTTTCTCCCAACAGAAGAACGTTCCCAAATCGCGATTTATTAAAGGATTTAAATTTAAAATCATATTGAGACTTTTTTCAACATTTAGTGGACTTGTTGTGGACTAATTTCAATTTAAATTGAAAGCCATGAAATGAAAACCATTTTTACCTGGTTTATGGATATTTATTAAGTATTTAAGTACTTAAGATATTTTAGAACAATTTTCGTCGGTATTGGTATTACAAATAAGCAAATTGGACCTTTAATAGTAAAGTTGTTAAGTAACAATAATATAAAACGTTGTCTTAAGTATGTTAATTAAAAAAATTAATATTATACTATTATTTATTTTTTCTATTTAAAAGGAAAAGCTAAATTTTTAAGTTTTGTATATAAAGTCTTTGGTTATAGAAGTTAACCTGTTTTACTTTTGGAGGGTTAACTTGCGCGCCTTCGGGCGGTTCGTTAGATACAGTGATAAATGTTTAATTAGCCGCGTTATTAATCTAATCAATCATGCAGGCCGAAATCAATCAGTAGGGGGGCAGGAGGGGTTATGAATCGCGAGTTAATTCCGTTGCTTAACATCCGACTGGGGACCCAGGAAACCCCCTCCCCCGCCGACATTTGAAAACTTGGCTTTCTTTGAGTTTTCTTGGGCCTTGCTTATTGGTTGTCTCTTTTGCTTAATATTCAACCAAGAGAAAGTGGGACAACTATAGAAACCAGTGCGCGAATGCGAGCCTGGTCTTAGACACGCCTCTCTCACTCGCTCTCACTCGTAAAGTCAGCCAGTTTGAGTTTGACTCAAATTATGTAAGGTGAGCCGAACTCAACGCGCTTGTATTTCCCCTCTCTCACTCTCTTCCCCCTTTCTGTCTTTTTTGTGACATATAAATATTTTTTAGTGGAAGCAACTTTTGCTTAGTCTTTTATCAACATAAATAAATTAAATGTGCCTGTTTTGAAAAGTTCTGTGTGCGTGTGTTCTGGCATTTTGAATGGCAAAAGTTGTGCCTTTCAATCTGCGGAAATCATTGTTATTTTGCGCTGGCAAATTATAGGCCATTAAAATTGATTATTTTCCATTATCAGTGTGGGAGGTTGGCCGTTCGCCGCCTCTCTACCACACCCCCTTAATGGAAAACTGAGAGGCAGCGATAAAGGGAGGTGCACTGACAACACCTGCAAAATAATTTAAAGTTAGGGCTTAATACACACACACAGAGACCCACACACAAGTACAATTGGCGGCCATTATTACATGGCTCCTGATTTCTGTAATTCAGCCAACCAGCGTGAAAGTGGGAGTGAGAGCGGAACAGTGGGCGAAATAAATCAATTAGCCGACCCATCTGCAGCACATGCCGCTCCTGTCACTCTACTGCAACTGCATTGCATCCCTCTCTCTCTCACTCTTGCTCCTTTGCTGCGCAGGCTCTTCTCTCTCTTTCTCTTTCTCTTATTTCACTTTTGAGTGGTCGGCGCTAATCGGTTACGCCGCTGCCTGCCACCCCCTTACCACCAGCCCCAACCCCTTCCACTTTTCCAAGGTAACCACCACGGTGGTTGGCCAAAACGAGTGGAGTCGCGTCCAACGCGGATTCATTGGTTTCTCGTCCGGCCGAGTCACTAATGTCCGCCGATGTCCCGTGTAATGCGTTTTTTGCACGTCTCCTGTTTAGTGGGAAAAGTGAGCGAACAGAAAATGCGGAGATAAAACTGGATCACGCAGAAAAATTACATATACGTAGATACTTCATTGAAATATTTTTTAAGTTTACCAAAGACTACATTGATGAATACAGATCACCCCTTAGTTATTGAATCAAAAACTTAAAAAGTTATAATTCAATGCCTAAAGAACAACTTTAACCCCACCTTTTTTTCCTTTGAAACTCAAAATTATACAAGCTGTTGTAAATAGCGTTACAAACTTGTTAATAATAAAAAAATATTTTTAATTGCAACTATTAAATCAACTACAAATGGAAAATCAACAGCCCTATTGATTTTGCCAGCTAGGCTCGATTTATTTAAATTTTCTTTAATTTGTTTCTTTAAATTAGTGGTAAAAGATTAATTAAAATTTAAAACAGATATCTTAGACTTAAATAAATAAATTTGGGATATGCTTAAATCTTTATAAGAATTAATTTAATATAATAAGGGTATTATTATTTTCCCAGCCTTCGAAAAAAAAATGTAATAACAATATTGAATCCTTCTTCAAGGCTAAATCGAAACCAAACCAAATAACAAATCAATTTTAAAAGTAAAATTGTTCGCTTTATTCTCAGTGTTTCTTTTTGTGATCGATGATTGACAGCCATTTCTTGGTGTCGGCATATCCATAAAAAAACTTTTCCAGCCCGCAAACACCACGTATTACCAAACAAAATCGGTCGTCAATTAAAAGCAACTCGAAAGCAACTAGTAGCGCAGGTCTAGCCTGAAAGTTTGATAAACAATGCACTGAAATCGAATGCCGGAGTAATTAATTATTGAACTTTTACAACTGTTTCGGTTTGGGTTTCGTTGGCTTTGTTTTTTTTCCATGCTTTTTTTGTTTTACCTCTCATTTTCACAGTGAAGCGCTCAATGGGTCGACGCTCAAACGTACGTACGTACACACTACACTCACAAGGGAAAAAAAACCCCTGAATGCTCAGTGGCAAACCGACCACAACCACAGGCAAACCAGAATGCAGCAACAGTAACAGCAACAGCAAGAGCAACAGCAAAAGCAACCCGATCCAAGTTTTAGCCAAGTAAGATATTGCGCTGCCGGTGGCTCTGAGCTCAGTCTCATTCAGCGAGTCGGCGGGCGTTGAGTTTGAGTGCGAAGTGCGGTGCGCGTCGAGTCAGCGAGCGTTGAGCAGCAGCAACAACACGACGGCAACAGCAATACTAGCAACATCAACACTGGCAACAGCAGCAACACCAACGGCAGCCACACAGACGAGCGGTTCCGGTTCGCGTTTTCGAGTGGTGGCTACAAGAAAACAAAAAAATTACCCTCAAAAAAACCGTCGGAAAAACAAGGCCCCTAAAATGCCCTTAATTTAATCCCTCCCTTCGACTGATCTTACAATTTGGAAGCGTGGCATGGCAACCACCACATCCCCCGGCCCCACAAGGACTACCACTAAAGTTTCCACACCAAGAGCTACATCTGGAATTCCTGGGAGCGCTGAATCCCCGGGAGCAATCATGCCCATGGCCGCCGTGCCATTGCCGTCGCACCTGCAACTTTTGGGCAGCCCCGCCGGAGGCATCGGACAGCCGTCGGCGATCACGCCCGTTTCGCCCACGGCAGCACCCACAGGTTAGTTGTTAAACAATGAGCATTTTTATGTTTTAAGCAAGGAAATCAGTTAGTTACTGGCCTAAACATTTTTATTTATTTTAAATAAGAATTTTTTTAAATTTATTTGTATGGATAAGAATTAATTATTTTACAAAATTTACCGACAAACAGATTGTCTTATTACAATAAATTTTCATTTCTTTTAGATTTTCAAATAAAATTTCGTATGTTCTAATTGTTCTCTTATGTTGTTGCTCTGTTTATATTAAGGCTTTCGAACGGCTTAATTTATCTAATAATTTATATATCCTCAACATCATTTCAACAAATATTATTTACGTACTTTGTTAACATAAATCAATTAATTGTGTTACGATTGCATTCATTAAAAAAGTACTATAGTTTTTGAAGCCCAAAAATATTTGACTAAAATTTTTAGAAACAAATTTATAGAAGAGCTTAAGTATTCACTTTGTATAACATTTTTGATATATAAAACAAAATTATTCTTTAAAGAGGCATACAATTATATTGTGGTGTAAAACAAAAACATTATTTTAAAATCCAAACACATCATTACTTTTTTACAGTTGGATATTATAATGCAAGCTTATAATACATCATAAATATATTTTAGGCTTCTTTACCTAATATTTCCTTTTACAATATACTCATGTTACCGTTGCGGATAAATCTGTTAATTTGTATGTAGATTTTCCTTTTAATGCTGTCCTGACACCGCTGATGTTGCTGCTATCGCCTCGACTTTTGCTGTTGGTGTTGCCATTGTCGTTGCTATTGCTGCACGCTCCAAGTGAGCCGCAAGTTTTCGGCGAATTCCGTGAACTGACAGGGATATCGGAATCGGAGGCCCGAAACAGTTTAAAACAAAAGCCAGCCACAAGAAACTGGTGGCACTAGTCAAATGCCTGCTGGAGAAGTGCAATGATTTGGAAATTTCACAACAGCAAAAGCAACGCAGCAGCAGCAGCAGCAGCAACATCGCAGCAGCAACAACACACAACAACTGTGGCAACTGTTTTGGTCTTTCGCACATCAGTGGCAATTTGTTTTGCACAAGTATGGGTTGTCAAATAAAATTAGTTCACGTCGGCGGCCATCGAATGTATCTGCAAGATACACACAGTGTCCGGGAAGGAAAAAAGGGGATTTTGTGGCTATCGGGAGGGGGCGAGCAAAGCTTTGACTTGTCTCTAGAAGGTGTTGGAAGTTGCACAATAAATAAATAATTATAAAAAGAGCCCCGGCCGAGGAAAAGAGACACGTTGAAAAAGAGTTACGGAGACCCCAAACCAGAGACTCAGGGGGTTAAGGGGGTCCAAGGAGGTACATGGCATACATTGAAGTTTAAGCATAGGGCAGAAACCATACTTAGGGGTCTCAGGTTACGTGGTGCGTGTATTCGCATTATTCTTAGAAAGCCAAGCGTATAAAAGGTGTGCACAATGATTTTCAAGAGTGCCTCAGCTCGGTTTGCTATGGTTTGGTTTGCTTCGAAAATGCACATGGTCCGAACTCCTTACGTTACGTATATGAATATGTGTGTCACCCCAGTTGGTGGTTCCACCGCCTAGGAACTGGGGTGATCATTTCACGACTCTTTGCTTCTTTTTATAACGTTTTAAAAAGGAAACAGTAATATTACCACCGGCTCAAGTGAGCCACCTTTTTTTGATTACAGACACATTTTTGCTTGTTTTATTATCTTTAATGATTTCACATTTAAAAGAAGATGCAAAGATAAAAAATGATGAAAAGAATTAATGAAAAATAACTTCTTAATAAATGTTTGGAATTTATCTTTCAAAGAGTTTAATTTAAGAAACAGTGTTAACTAATTTTTCGATTGAAAAAATTCACCTTCATTAATTAAAAGTAAATTATTAAATTAAATGCTTCAACGGCAATGGTACATAACCCAATCCAAAATAATTATAAAATTTGTAAGAATAAAAACCCATCGGTATTTAATTGTTTTATTTTCGTTCTCAGCATTGTTTTCTTAAATTAAACCATATCAGTTTCAAGCAATTAAGGCCCTCTTAAAAATTCGTAAAATAAATACAAAAAACAAATTAATTTAAATACTCTTAAATTCTCTTTAAATTTGGAGGTGTTTAATTTCCATTTTCATACTTTTATGCCTATGGTTAACCACAATTTAATAGCAAGCTATAATCCACAAACGTACAATAAAATCCAATAAAGGATGGCATAAAATTAGAGTGACTTATGTTAGAGTACATCTCCCCTCGGCGGAATTCTTGGAGCTTAGGAAAATGTGCGAAGATCGCAGTAATGCGCACTGGCAGTAAAAACCAGAAGCTTTAGAAGACGAGTAATGCGCTGCGCGCGACAAACAAGATCAGCGAGCACTAACTGAAGGGGCTGAGATGGGAATGGGGATATGGGGATGTGGTCGAAGATGAGGATGCTTTGAGGAGCCACATAAAAAGCGAGCAACTTTAATTTATATGCAGTGCCTGGAAGGGAGGCAAAAAGGGGCGACCGGGAGGAGCAGCGGCAAAAAGTTACCGGTAGCAATAAATCAAACTATCAATTGAATTCCGAGGCGATCATCACTTGTGGCGAGCTGCGATCCCGAGTTCGAGCTTCAGTCCGAGTACGATCGGCATCGCTTCTTGTTATAAGTCTCACGGTGACGTGCGAGTGGGTACAGAGGAAAAAATAACTTAGTTATATCATTACGACATTTAAAGCTACAATTTAGAAATCTAAACTTTATCTTATAACAACCAGGGAAATATTTGTTTTGTTTTTGGAAAGAATTGTTTATAAAACTATGAAGAATGGTTAATTCTGTTTAGGAAACTAACTAAAAAAATTATATATTTATTGGCCTAGGCATATACAGTCAATCTCTCGCTTTTACACTTAAATATTTTAAGAGTTCCAAATAATGAGATTTAACAGGAATCTTTTTAAAATGTTTATATATACTTAACAATCTGAATTTTATTTTTTATTGTTTATGTTGGTTGAAAAGTTGGTACTTCAAAAGTATTGTTTGTTAAAAACCCTTGTCCCACATAAATGTTTATTAGACTTATGATAGGCAAAATTAAAAGCTTTTTTATGCATATTTTTTTTTCTGTGCATAGGCTTGAGGGGCAGGATGAAGGGTTCGGGTTTTGGGCCGTGGTTCCAGCGATTTTAAGCCGCTTTTGCAATTGACTGAGGCGCATCGCGGGGCAGTCGGAGCTGTCGCATTGCGTAGTAAATCATCGGTCGATTCCGCTCCGACTTTACCATAGAATCTGGACTGGGAATGGCACTGCGACTGAGACTGGGACTGGGGCAATCCGGAGGCACTGAGCGCTGTTGACATCCAAGTTGGCCGGCTGTTGCGGCGGCATAAATCAAGCATGGCCATAACCGCGGCCACAACAATTGGCGCAACATGCGAGTGCAGCAAATTGCCGCGGCCACTTTTAAATGGAGTAAGCCCGACTGGTCGAGGTCCCCATATGCATGGAGTTTAATTAGCCAAGGAGCTGATTCCCGATCACGATCCCGATCCCCGATGAAAGTGCATACTGGAAACTGGGAACGACTGGCATGCCGTCGCCACACACGGAGCTCGATCGCACCAAAAAAGAGGTGTTAAAATGTGTGCAGTTCTCGCGATCAGATAAAATGTCAAAATGAACATAAAAGCTTCTACATCCGAGGAATGGCCAATTGCTGCCACCACTCTGACAAGTGATCTCCCGTCCGTTTCCCATTCCAATTCCCATTCTCATGCCGATTCCGATTGCGATTCTGATTCCGATCCAGAGAGTCCAGGTCCAACAAATTGCCAGCGAGAATTTCATAAATTCCGACTGGAATCAGCAGTCGGTGTCAGCGGTAATGGACCACACCGCGTCCATTATGCCCATAAACGTTGACACTTCCGCCACTGGACGGAGTGCTCTTGGATCGGCTTTGACTCTGGCTGGCTCTGATCTGACTCTGACTTTGACGTCGTCGATCAAAAACACACCGAAATTTGTCCAGGCATCTCGTTGTCCCACTAACCAGTCTTCCCCCCAAAATCCTCGAAGCCTCACTCGTTGATCGGGGTACAAATTTCTTGGTGTTTCTGTGTCACGCGCGGAATGCCGGCAACAGCTTCGTTTAAATTCCAATTGACGTTTAATGATTGTGCGCCTCTACACTTAGAGAAAGGTGTGCTATCAAAGGCAATTGTATATTTTAAAAGCACTAACAAAAGCACTCCAAGAAGCAATTATAAAGGCAGGAAAAGGAACTTTTGAATATAAACTTAATATGTGTAAAACTCTTTTAATTATAATTTAAATTTAATTTAATGTTTTCTTTTTTTAAAATTTGTCTTGACAATAATTAGAAAATTAATCTATTATTAAGTCTATGGGATTATTTTGACGATAGGCAGGCCAAATTCTCCATAAAAAAAAGATTCCCAATGGTTTTCAAACCTGTTTTCTTTAATAACTTATACTTTTAGTCATTACATTTTTATACACTTTTTTATCTTAAGGCAAAATAATCTTTTACCGCATAATCCATTACTTTATATGAGCATATTTCTAATTTGTATCCGAAAACCTTAAAATCACCCTTAAGCTAACGAAAAATTTAAAAGAGTTTATAAAATCAGTTATACTTAATGTATAGGCAAATTTTTAGTAACAACTGAAAAAACCTCTTTATGTTTTTTATTCCTATTCCTATTCCTTTTTTGGTTGGAAACTCACTCCATTTTTCCCAGTGTACTAATGATTTCTTGACCTCGCATTTTAGTCCTCGCCCAGCCGCACAGTTTGAGTCCATCCACGCCCATCCTGACCCAGGGCGCACCCCCTGCTCCGGCGCTGGGTGGGATCTTCTGCGGAGGCAGTGCAGCGACGGCGGGACCGGGCGCTGCGGGGGCGGCAGCTGCAGCGGCGGCCACGAACCTCAACGCACTAGCCTCGCAGCATCGCCTACTGGAGCTATCCCGCTTTGGCCTTAGAGGATACGACCTGGCCCAGCACATGCTCTCCCAGCAAGGAGCTGTTTCCAAGCTGTTGGGTAAGTTAAGTTGGGGCAAATCAGGGGTAGTGAAAAAGGGGGTGGGGTAGAGAGGAGGGAGGGCTAGGCAAACGTGGTCCAGACCAGACCGGACCAGACCAGACCACCCTGACCAATGCAATCAGCGGCATAACGCGGAACCACAAAACACGCGCCCCAAATGCAATCGCCAAGTGTCCCCAAGCGTCCCAATCGATTTGCACGGCTCCGTTGTGGGGTCACGTATACAAGACAAATCGATTGGCAATCGCCATTGCCCCCACCTGCACCTGCACCTGGACACCCCCTCATTTTTCCCCTTTTTCGCCTTGTTTTCCCCCTTTTTCCCACTGGGGAAGTCTGCAGCAGCCGCACACCTGTTGCCACCTGTGGGTACGAACACCAGCCATGTCATTCTCAATTTGCAACCTTCTCCACTCAAACTGGCTAATTTGAATTGCAAGCTTAAAACTTGAGCAGGAAGTACAGAACTTTGTGAATTTATAGGTTGCCAAAAGTGGGAAAACAAAAACATTTGATTCCAAGGCTATTTATTAAAAAAACATTTTTAAAAAAACCAAACCAATTGTTTTTGTTCTGCTTTAAAAATAAAGAAATAAAATTAATGGATTTTATTATTAAATTAATCACACGTAAGCTATTTCAATTAAATAGGCCATAAAATATGTAAGGGTCTAGTACAACATTTGACTTAAGCGCATTTTGCACATAGAATCATTTGCACAACAGCACAAAAACCTTTAGTACAAAAACAGCAAATTGCTTTTTATCACAAGCTAGTTTAGTGTGTTAGAAAAAGTTACGCTAAATAAATCTGCCCATTCACAAATATTCATTAGCTTAGCTTCAAATCGCATCATCCGATCTGTGTGGATGCCATTCATTCCCATTCAAGTCAATTTAAATTGTGTAAATAATTTCCGTTTTGCACAAAAAGCTAGAAAACAAATGTACAAGTACATTTGCTGGCCATTCATTGATTTAAGGCAGTCGACTGCACCGAAAACAAAATCTGACTGTACGTGTAACAAATTCCCCAATAAATTTGTGTGCTAATTAAAACTAAAGATAATAGTTTATTTGCATCTAGAAATCAAATTAATGGCATGTCCGAGTGAGCCAGCTAATCCGGTAATTTGAGGATTTTCTCTGGGTGTAATTCAGCGACAGAGCTCAATTTGAAAGATAAACGCGCGCGCCTGTCAACTGCTTCCGACGAATTATCATTTGAGCCGACTTTTGTGACTCTATGACTCTGTGACTCTGCGACCACTGCGACTACTGCGACTTGGAGTCTGAGGTTTCGAGTCCGCTGATGTTGTCAAATATTCAAATTAGCGCTCCGCTGAATGGAAGCCGACTGGTGGCTTAATTGTCTAGTTAGTTAGTGGCTCGGAGCAGGCAGTCAACAGGTAGCAGGTATCTGGCATTTGGTATCTGGTAACTGGCAGTGCCACACAATGCACTGCGACCGGAGGGCTTTTGACCTGTTCGAAACGCCCACACGGGCCAACTGCCTTTGAACAATGTGAAAATTATGCGAGTCGCACAATACCCGAGCCCAAGGCGCTGGCAATAGGAAAAAAACGGCCAAATTGATTGCACAACTGGGATGGGGCATACCTACTAAAATTTGAAGAACCAGACACGCCTTTAGCCGCACAAATTTCGGGGTCCCAAAAATTAATTTATTTTATTAAAAACATATTTCAAAAGCAACAAGGGTCACATTCCATCCTAAAACAAAAAAAGGCTTAAGAATTCTAATAAACCACTAAGATTTGTAATCTTTAACAAGTAAAAAAAATTATATATATATTGAAAGCCATTTACCCAACATTTTACTGTTTTAGATTATTATATTTTAAAATAATTTTGATTATAAAACTATTAAAGTTTTATAATAAAAGTTCTTGCAAATATATTTTCAGCATTGAAGATCATTTGAACTTTTGAAAATGGTCTAGGCACTTGTGACATTCTTTTATTTGAACTTGACATTATCTTTTAATATTTGGGGTATATGTATTTGATTTAATTATACCAAAATCAATACGGAATCTACAATTATATTTTATATTTTAACTTAAACAAAAAGGCATTTGTACTTGGAGTAGTTTTAATAATTAAATTTGATATGTTAAATTGGTCCCAATAGGCCAATGTTAGGCCTTTCTTTATAAAGTAGATAATGAAAGTTTGCTGCCAAAGTTAATGTTTAATATATTTAAATATATTCTTTGAAGATTTACAAACATTAAATATCAATATATCAAATAAGTCTCTTAATCGCAAAGAGGAAGTTCATATGTTTAATCGGCAATTTCTCAATCTTGCAGGTACGTTACGTCCGCCGGGTCTAATTGGCGGCTCCAAGCCCAAGGTGGCCACCCCGACAGTGGTCTCCAAGATCGAGCAGTACAAGCGCGAGAATCCGACGATCTTCGCGTGGGAAATCCGCGAGCGACTGATCACTGAAGGTAGGCGAACAATGAGTCCAGGGGCAGATGCCGATCAATGGGGCAGTACTTCGATTATGGAGTTGGGAGTAGGAACAGGGAGAGACGGTACACAATGCGAGTAGCTGGGCTAATTAACTGACAGGGAACCCCCGAAAGCGAAATTGCCCAACAAATGACAACGGTTGCGACAAGCGTCTGCTCTTGTTTCCAAGTTGCTTACGCGCTTCTTTTTCAGCTCATGAGTTCCTTCAGCTCACCCAGCTTTTCTTCAGCTTCCTTGAGCAACTTTAGATGGGGGATTGACAGGAGGAACTGGAGGATCTGGAGGAAAGAGCAGCCATCAGCATCGGGCATCAAGCATCGGCACTGGATTGATGTGTTTATGGTGCTCGTAATGCGAATGCCCGCCGAGGGCTCATTTAATGTTGTAAGAACAACCGGGAGGATGGAGGATATATTGTTCCACTGCCGCAGATTTAGATTTATCGATTGGCTAATTTATGAACATCCGCTGCGAGTCCGATTGATATGTAAATGTGCTCACATTTGTGTCACTCATTTTGGGTTCCCTCCACCGAAGTCTGCGAGATAATCGCGCGGACAGAATAGGAGCCAGTAAGTAGTCCAGTCGGCAGCAACCAGTTGACGGTTTCTGCCGGCCACTTGACAGTTGCCCGTGGGCAGTGTACAGTGGTCAATGGATGTGGATGTGGATGTGGCTGCTGGACAGTGGACACTGGACAGGGGACAGAGGACTGTGGTCAGTTCGCATCGCTCGGTGCAATGAATCGTTCCGATAGCCATCTCTCGCATGAGACGCACGAACACACACACGGCGAGATCCCAATCGCTCCTCTCATTACAGTCAATCCTCAGCTCATTTCGGGGTCACCAACAGGTCATGATGCGCTGCATCCGGTGCACGAACAATGAATAAAAGCATGTCCAAATCAGAGCGCTCTTTTTATAAGTTTGACTTTATCAATTAAAAAAAACACATGTTTAAATGCCTAGATTTATCCTTTTTAAAGTAATGTGGAGACTTGCAAAATATTAAAAAAATCTTTTATTTTTGGATTTATTAATAAACTTTTTTAATCATTTATCATCAAACTTAAATTAACCCAGCTACAGAAATATTTAAATAAAAGTGGATCAATTCTGAAAATAAGAAAGGCTCCAAAGATTTTGTCACACCCACGGACGTTTTAAACTATATTTAGAAAAAATGTTTAGTTATGACCTGACCTTCTTGATAATATTTATAATAACCTTTACCTGATAGCTAAATGCAATGTCCTCCCATCTTTTTCAGGTGTTTGTACCAATGCCACCGCTCCCTCAGTGAGTAGCATCAATCGAATATTGCGCAATCGAGCTGCGGAGAGGGCAGCGGCGGAATTTGCCCGAGCTGCGAGTTACGGCTATGCCATCCACCCCACGCACCCGCATCCGTACACCAGCTTTCCCACTTGGCCGGCGCATCATCCGTTGTGGGGAGCCGTGCCGCTGCCCTCTGGAGCAGCTGGTGGGGCTCTGCTGCCCGGCGGAAGTGGCAGCAGCTACGGCAGCGACGGCAACATAAGCTCAAACCCCAACAGCAGCAACGGCAACACCACCCACAGCAACAACACCAACAGCGGCAGTGCCTGCGGAGACAGCAGTGCGGGAAGCGGCCGCCTTTCCCTGCCGGCTCTTTCACCGGACTCCGCCAGTCGGGATAGCCGCTCCCCTGATGCAGATGCCAACCGGATGATAGGTGAGTTCAGATACCTTCATTTGCGCTTTTTAAAATTACATTTAAACAATAGTTAACGATAAAACATGACCCACAAAATATTTTGTTTAGAAAAGTAGATTTCTAAAACACAAAATTCCCTTCCAATGTATATTTTTATTTCCTGTCACTTAGATATATATTATACAAAAAAAGAAAAAAATCCATTTAAAGATGTACAATTCTCTGGAACTCTATTGATTTTGTAACAATGTCATAAGTTATTTACATGTTTTGAGAAATAATAAGAGTTATTTGACATTTTTTCAGTTTTAAGTGATTTGGACTTACCAAATTTGCTTACCAGTGTAGACAAATTGTCTTCGTTGTCATGCTTTCTTTATGTTTTGTCATTTCCAAGCCTAGTGATGAATAACTTTATGTTTTAAGATGTGCTTTTCCTTTTTTAAAGGTATTAAAATATTTAAGTAAATTAATAATTAAAACGTAAATTTGTTCAGACATCGAGGGCGAGGACAGCGAGTCGCAGGACAGCGACCAGCCGAAGTTCCGGCGCAACCGCACAACCTTCAGTCCGGAACAGCTAGACGAGCTGGAAAAGGAGTTCGACAAGTCGCACTATCCGTGTGTGAATACCCGCGAAAAACTGGCTGCGCGGACGACGTTGAGCGAGGCCAGGGTGCAGGTGAGTCGACATCACAACACCAACTCCTACTCCTATATTTTTGGTACCCCAATCGAACACATCCACCCACCAACACACCCTACTAACCACACATCCGGAGCTGGCTACTCCGGAGATGACCACACCACGATCCCCGGCTCTTTTTTTTATCGACTAACAAATTGTCTCTTCACCGATTGATCAACCAGGTTTGGTTTTCCAACAGACGAGCGAAATGGCGGCGCCACCAGCGGGTCAACTTGCTCAAGCAGCGCGACTCGCCCTCGACCTCGAGCTCACCCACGCCGGCGGTTCCACCTGCAGCTCCAGCTTCGGCTCCTGTTCCAGCTCCAGAATCTGGCCAGCCGAAGCAGCCATATCTCTACAGCCACAGCAGCATCAGCAACACCATCTGCAACACCAGCAACACCATCTGCAACAGCAACTGCAACACCAGCAACAGGAGCAACTTGAGAGGCAACAACCACGTGGAAGAGCCACCAGTGGCGGTGGCAACTGCCTCACCCACAGCATCAGCTCCATTATCAATGGGCGGTGAGCACAGCGCCTTCCGAGCCCTGCCAATGACCTTGCCCCCGGCATCGGCGGCTGCCTTCGCCCTCAGTTTCGCCCGCCAGTACATAGCCAAATATATGGGCACGCCCATTAATCTGGGCCACAATTTGGCATCCAGTGGTGCCGCCGATCATCAGTCGTCGGAGGACGAGGAGGGGCAGGAGGAGGAGGAGGAGGTAATCAACGTGGAGCACGATGCCGAGTGACCATTTTCCTATCGCTTTAAATCGAGAATTTAGTGCAATTTTTACTACTTAATTTATTCAGTTTGTACCACATCTAACAGCGTGCTGAGTACAAATAAAATCGAAACGATGACATGCGTGCGATAAATTCTCACGAGTTTCGTATAATTGGTTTGGGAATTCAGAAGATGACACCCTTTGACATTTGCGGGGGGGAGGGGAAATAACTTAGAGATGCCCGACTCGAAAGAGACTTTTCGAAAATAACTCAAGTGGACAAATCTGACAATTTTGTGGCTACCAAAAGCAAAGTGAAAAGCAGACACACAGAGGCAGTGGCACAGGCTCCAGCTTTAGAGAACTCGAACTCAAGTACCTGGCATGTTGGGTCTGGAATTGGACATGGGAAGGAGATGAGGAGATGAGGGGATGAGGAGATTCGGGGATCGGGGATCCATTGCTGGAGCCGGGTGATTAATGTGGCTTTAATTACATGCGCTGCCGAGTCGTCGCCGTCCTCGTTTTTGTCGTCAATGTGTATGCTCGGATGGATCACTATAATTATATAGATGGCCGAATTAAATTTTAATTTAACGCCTGTCAAATCAGAAAACCACTGCCCCTCCCCCTTCGCTCAAGAGATCGCCCCTCCATCCAATCCACTCAAATCCAATGCAATCCACGAGGGCAGCCCCCGAAACAGTTATTCATTTCATCGCTGATCGGTGATCGGTGTTCGGTGATCGCTGATCGGTGAGAATCAATCGAACTATGCGCCAGGCCGCTATTTTACCATCTATCCATTATTGATTGTTGGATTGTAATGAGCCACCGAAGGCGTCAACTCCAGCGTCGATCGGTGATGAAAGAAAGACGCCTGCCAAGAGAATGCGAAACAATTAAAGCCCCGAAAACATATTCCGGGGTACCTGCGGCTTTCAATGAGTCGTCGAAACGTTTTGCGCCACAAGAAAGGGATACACCGGAAAAAATTGAATTAAAAATCCATTTGATATGTGCTGGTTACTATTGCTTGGAGAAAAAGATTAATCTTGTTATTGGAGAAGAGATTTAATTTAAAAAAGTTTCGGAAACTTAAATAAGAAATAGTTACATTATTAACTATATAAAATAAGGCCACAAAATGCTAATTAAAATAAATGAAAACTCAGAAAACTATCATATTAAAGGTTAAATAAAATAATTAGGAAATAAAGCTTTTTGTATCCCCAAAATTTGTATTATCTGCATGGCAACTATGCAAAACACTATTTAATAATAAGAAAAGGAGTGTTTATTATATTTAACATCGAGCTGTGGGTATTGTATCCACTTTTATGCCAATGAATCTCATAGCTATTGCAGCTCCTTAAAGTTCTTAGATTTGTAGCAAACGTGGCGCTGAAAGTTGAAAGTGGAACTGCGACCGAAACTGGGCTGCATATCATCCGAGTGGCCCGATACGGCATCCTTGGCGCGATTTCAGCCGTTGTCCGTTGCCTGTACCTGTTAATTGCCAAAGGCGTTAGTATTAAGTGGTTTTCGTGCTTATTATAAATATCTCTTAATTTTCGCCATCCCCACGTTGTGCTGGTGTGAGTGGCAAAATCTTGAAATGGCAATCACCGACTTGCAATTCCCAACTCCCGACCAAAGGCAGCCAAGTGGACATCGTCTGCGGACTCGTCGTCTGCTTTGTTGTCATTATGTTGTGTTATTTGGCACGATTTGTTAAGCTAAGGAGCAGGAATGGCACTGGGTTGAGGACTTGCCATTCAGGGGCGAACGAAGGAGGGATTTTGGGGCAATTTTCATAAAAATACCATTGAAATAAATAAAATATTTGGTCTACTGCTTAAAATGCTTAAAAAATTGTAACAAAAATATTTTTAAATTTATTTATGTTTAAAAAAGGTATTCTAAAAAACCTATGAAAGTTCAGTTCTTAAATTAAATGGCTTTTAAAATAAATCAATGAATTAGAGTGTCTACCTAAGTCATTCTATCTTATATTTTGACCAAATCAATACTAATCAAAATATTTAGGATAAGTACAAATTTGATCATTTCCATTTAGCACCATCTGTTAACATTCAAATTTATAAAATTTAGTGGTTTATGTTTGGGGCCTTTGAGCCCCATGAAACCCCCTGGATTCGCCACTGCTCTCGGATGTCGAGTCGCAACTGAAGCTGAAGGCTGTGCGCGGTTGCATGATGCTGCCGATCGATTGGGTCCGAATCGATCAGCGGCGAGGAGCGGCATCGGGAATGGCCAAAGCCAAAACCTCACTTCTCCGGTAGCCGATCACTGGTCCACTAGCTGCTTTTGGCCCTCTTTGAGAGAGTTGCCGCTTTTGGCCATGAGATCGGGAGCCAAACTGGCGTCGCACAGCATACAGCACACAGGGCACATATAATTGTCGCATGCAAGATCGCGGCCATCGACATCCGCATTGACAACTCGGAACGGAGGGACTGGAAGGGGGCAGCCCCGACAGCAGGACATGAAAGGTAACGCATTGCTGCGACCAGGAGAATAAGTAATTCACTTAACGCTTTAATATCGCTGATAAATGCAGACCGATCTGCATTCCCCCCTCCGTCCACATGGCCCATACATTTCCCCTTAATTGGTGCAATTTCGAACGATTTTATTTTATTTCGCCTGCGTTTCATTCCCGCTGATCGTTTTTCCTTAGATCCGTGGACTCTTTTGCCGAGAGATCACCTGTGCCTGCGCAGACTTTGTGGCTGCGGCGTGCGAACAGTCTGCTCATTTGCATAAATTCAAATTCATTTGCACGTTATTGGGAATGAGAGACCAAAACCGAAACCGAATGCGAATGCGAATGCGATTCGAGCATTGTTTTGCACGTGTTGACAAGTTGCAAGAGGGCTAAGAAGGGGATGATTTAAGCATAGGAGGGACCGGATGCTCCAATGATAAAATGCGCATCCTCTTCAGAGCCCTCGAACCCACATTTACTTCGGGCTACCCACAGCCGACGACGTCTATGCGAGTTTAATGCAAGCCTAAGCCTATAATTTGATCGTATCCACACAATAACTCAGGACTCAGCCCAAATCGGAGTCGGAGACGGAGCCTAAGAGTGGACCGCAAGAGTGGACCTCAGCGGACCTCAGCGAACCTCAGCGGACCTCAGCGGACCTCAACGGACCGCATTCGGAGTGCAAAATGCCCAGTGGCGCTTTTGGGGGCGCGGCCACGCCGAGCAAGAGCAGTGACAGAGCCGATAATGGATGCGCAGCAATGCCATTTCTGGCAGATCGGGGAGTACTCCGCGGCTTCTGATAAGACCACCAGCGGGTCACACTCGAAAAATTGTTTAAATAATTAAAAACTTTTTACAAAAAAATGGTATTCCGTTTAGGGACAAGTTGATTAAAAAAGGCTAGTTTGTTAAATGACAAAGTTGTGACCCAGAAATAGGAAATTGACAAATAAGTCGTAAAATAATTTTAAGTTAATAAGGATGCTTAGTTTATTCAAACAATATTAAAATTTAAGGCAATATACAAATCGACAAAGCATCTCAAAGTTCTTAAACTAATAAAAAACTTTTAAAACTAAATTTATTTGTGAGTTTTTCACATATTTTTGTTGGGTGTTTTTAAAAATTTTTAGAATTTTAGTTTCTAGTTGGCTTGCAATTCGCTTGCTTTCAAAAAAGCTTCATTAATTTGTTAAGTGCATCGAATCCACTCCAGCAGCAGGACAAGTAGTTGTTGAAAGCGTCGAGCGAGTGCCCAGCCAGGAACGCCCGGCTCACTTAGTGGGCAGGAATCGTAACTTAACTGGGGACTTAACCAGAGGACCCCATACACCGGGATCGATCGATCGGATTACCCGGCAGGCTTTTCAATTCAACACATCCTCCGGTCGCCGCGGCAATTATATGCTCGTACCCGCTCCGATCTGCCACGCCCCCTTTGGGCGTGCGACGCCAATTATAACCGCTGAGATCCGAAGATCTCCTGACTTAAATAAATGCGCAAGTTTGGAAATTGAAAGGGAATTAGCGGTGGGCAGGCAGCCGATCTGCAGAAATATTGTGCATAATTATATGCTAATCCATTGGCACTGAATTATGTGCGGCCATGTGTGTGGTCACTTACCTTTTTGGCAAGTGGGGAAAAGTGCAGGAAAATGCTTTTCCGGGCGGCGCCTCAGTCCGTAATTGGTATATCCCGGCTCCCCTTTTCTTCGCCGGTGGCCTCCCACCCGCGGTCTGTTTGCATTGAAGTCGATCATGTAAGTAATTTCCCCTGTCCGGGGATCCAAAGCCACGAATTCAAATCCAAATCCACCGACAGTCGGTAGGAGATTGATTACTGTTAGGAGTGTGATAAATCGCTGTTTTTATTAACTTTTTCGGGATGACGCAGCGGAATTGGCGCTGCATCTCCAGTCGCCACTGGTCGGCACTTGAATAAGTCCGATCTGGGAATCAGATCAGCGTGATAATGTATAATTTGTTGTTTTGTAATGCTCGAAACAAAGCCGATGCCGTCCAGTAAAGTTAATTGAATTTGCTAAGCGAGTGGAGAAATATTTTCTGCAATCTTGAAAAATCCAATAATATTTTGATATATTTTGAATTATTTTTTATTGATAGTAACTTTGTAAAAATGTTGCAAGTGCTTGAAACTTTCTTTAAAAAACAAATAGAAAATAAAAAAGAGGTGCGTTCGTCCAATAGAAAGATATTAGACCTATTCAACTTGATAAGGCGATTTGTATTATGAGTAAATCAACATAATTAGAATTACTTTATTAACTAAGTTAGACCTTATAAATGGCTACATTTTTTTAAATAAATACATATATTTCCGAAATAAATAAATAAAAGAGATTATTTCCAGTACAAATAAAAACAAAAAAATTTGATATTTAGTTATAAACAAAAAAAAGTTCTCAATACAAATAGCCCGCCTAAAACCTAAAAATATCGATATATCGATAGCCACTGGTGTGGCCGCAGTTGTATCTCCCTCTGCCGTTTAGACAATAGTGGAGCTTGGCCACATTGCAACCAATTCCAAGTGGGACACGCTTAATTTTTTTTTTTCCAATTTGCCATTATTTCTTAGCGTCCCAGCTGTCTCAAAAATTTGCAACTGTGTT